TATTATTATTATTATTATTATTATTATTATTTTACAATATTACGTCATTGTTTGTTTATTATTGAAATGGTGGGCTTTCACTGTATCAGCATAATATGTAGCCTAACCTTGTATGTACTGTGTGCGTATGTTTATCATTCCATAATGATCACTTCAAACAGTTTAATTACCTATAATATTTTCATTTATTATTTTTATCATATTAACTAATACATTGATTTAGAATGGGAATTAATTGTTTTAAGGATGTCAAGTATCAAGGCTTCAGACAAATAACATATAGATGGTATTTTTAATATAAATGTAATTATTCTAATCTGTTGAATTTGTTTATAGGACTAATATTCAGCAGTCAAATAATATATTAACAAGGGTGATCATAGATTTGTAATTAAATCTATTGAGTTGGTGTTACATTGGGACTTATTAAAAGTATGGTTTTTATAGCTGTTATATAGCAAATGTTTTACTATGAGATACTCAAAAGAATATGTTTGGTTAAGTCAAGTTTAACAGTAATGAAAAATCACTTCACTTCAGAAAACAATACTAAAACTCATCCTACATGTATAATATTAATTATAAAAAGCAAGAAAGGCCGACTGTAGATTAAATTGATTGATTTATTTTTGATATTTCTTTGACATTTTAAAAATCAATTGAACTTGCCAAATACTGACTGAAATAACTGTACTTACAGAAATAGTATAGAATTGTCAGCACTTGATTCTAACTTGATTTTGATTTATTATTTTTTTGGATATTGATTATTGTATATCCTTTTGTCCTATATTGAAATGGGGCTTTTGCTAATTTACAGTATAATTAAGTACAGTACAGGACGCATTAAACATTAAAGGATAAACACATAACGCTACAAAATTGTAACTAATTTTGTATTGTTGACCTCTTTTGTCCCGGAGCATCAAAGTTAACACGATGTAGTTGGAATCCTACAGGTGACCAGAGGCCGGTTCAGTGTACAGTCTTTGTTCAAGTTTTGAAAACGTCTTGGAACACCGATCAAACTCAAAAGTTTTACCGTTATTTTGATGTTTTTAAATGTTTTTAAAGCATTTTTAAAAGGTGTTACAAGACCAAAGTCAATGTAACTAGGGTTAAAAATTACTCTAGTTACATTGACTTTGGTATTGTAACACATTTTAAGAATGATTTAAAAATGTTTAAAAACATCAAAATAACGTTATAATAACGTTTCTGAATGTTAAATTGAAACGCTATTAAAACGTTTTAAAAACTCCACATAATTACGTTTTTAAAACTTAATATTATAACGTTTTACAAACGTAATAAAACCCCTTTGTAAACGTTTTTAAAACGTGATACAAGACCAAAGTCGATGTAACCAAGGTTATTTTTACGATATAATAACGTTTTTAAAACGTTAAATTAAAACGTTATTAAAACGCTTCCAAAACTCAACAACAAAAAAAAAAACAAAATTACGTTTTCGAAACGTTTTACTAAAACATTTTTTGAACCAAACTCATACGTGTTTATAACGTTTTTTTAACGTTAAATTCCCTTCTAATGTTGAAATCAGCTTCCAAAACCAAAACATTTTAAATAAAGCAAGAAACAAAGAGTGTAGATGTGTATAAGAGACAGGCCCTAATCTCCTGTGTATCTATTGAATATTTACCAAAAGAAATTTGAATGTAAGCCAAAATTAAAGAGTTTTAAATCGTTGCCTTTGTTATTTCTTTTCATTTACATGCACTTACAATAATTAAAACCAGTGGTGGCGCCAGGATCTGCCCGACGGAGGGGCTAAAAGCCCCGACGGGGTGGGGGGACTAGTGGAGCGAATCGAGTCTCGCTTGGCTGGAGGCCAGGGGTCCGCATAGGGGCCCCGGTGCGGGTCCAGGGGGCGAAGCCCCTGGAAGCCACGGATATTTGATGAATTATGGCGAATTTTTATTACTTATTTGATAGGCATTGAGTTACTATAATATGACTTCATGTAGGCTATGCTTTCTAATGTTGAAATCAGCTTCCAAAACCTAAACATTTTAAATAAAGCTTACTACTTATTTGATAGGCATTGAGTTACTATAATATCACTTCATGTAGGCTATGCTTTCTAATGTTGGAATCAGCTTCCAAAACCAAAACATTTTAAATAAAGCAAGAAACAAAGAGTGTTAATGTAACCATTTAATTTACTTTCAAATCCTCATTCTTAAAAGTGAAATTCTATATTTTGGAAATTTTGCATGAAATCTGTCAACCACGCTGTCATGGTCGAGGTTGCTTCACCTATCACGATGTATTCCAACCATCAAGAGGATATCTAAATGAGCATATGTCATAACAGAACGCAAATTATTTTTAATTAGTCTCATTGAATTATTATTATTATTATTATTATTGTTATTGTTATTGCTGTTGTTGTTGTTAAGTTATTATTTTCTGTTGGGTTGTTTTCTGCCATGACGGATGTTTTCGGAAACAAACTGAATCATACAGAGATATCAATATTCAACTCTGCCGCATTTATTCAACAACTCGTGTAACATAATTCTCCTTTCACTCATGACCTTTATCAAAGTAAAAGGTCCTGTACAAAACAAAGGAGGGCGCTATATAGGATAACAGTAATCCTGATTATGAGAACACATATCCAACACTCCCACTTGTTCTCTTAGTAAACATCTTTAAATTCAACGTTAACATATCAAAACAACTATAACGGATAAAAAAATATTCAACTTCCACTTCTTCTTGTGAGATCAACCTTCTTCAAATACAGTATAGATCTTTACCTTGATGCATTTAACAGATCAACATCTCATTGCGGTGTGATGAACTAACTCCCAAACAATAAACACTTGAAACTTATTAATTTTTAGTTTTGTAGGTTTTGTGAAAATATCTGCAACCATATCTTCTGATGGGCAATACTCAATATCTATTTTGCCCTCATTATGAACATTTTGGATGAAATGAAATTTTATATCTACATGTTTGGACCTCTGTCTGTTTACTGGGTTTTTACTCAATGCAATGGCCCCTTGATTGTCTCCAAATATCTTTGTACAATTATAACCTTTCTTATCCATACCATTCAGTAACTGGGTAAGATATTAGCTCTTTTGAGTAGCGGCTGCTAAACCCATGTATTCAGCCTCACAGGTTGACAGTGCAACTGAAGGCTGTTTTCGAGATTTCCATGATATTACAGGACCATGCTCCGTTAAGCTAAAACAATACCCGGTAGTACTGCGTCTATCCTCTACAGAGGATGCCCAGTCTGAATCACTAGCTGCAATCAAATTTAAACCTTTATCAGATTTCCTGAAACACAATTCATAATTGAGAGTACCTTTCAAGTATCTCAATACATGCTTGGCTGTAACTAAATCCTCTACATTTGGATTAGATAGATGCTGTGATAACTTTCTGACCACCCAACTAATATCAGGCCTGGTACAAGTCATTGCATAGATTAGGCTACCTATGATTTCACGGTATTTTCTCGGATCAACCGTGTCCTCACTGTTACATTGCAACTTAAGTTCACAGGGAGTGGATCTAGGTTTACAGTCAGACATATTAAACCTTTCAAGCACTTTCAATATGTACCTCTTTTGGTTCATTTGGACTACACCGTTAATTTGTTTAAAATCAATTCCCAAGAAGTATGAGATTTTCCCCAGATCTTTCATCTTAAATTGACATTGCATAGTCTCCTTGAACTCATTAAGCAACTTACTACTACTGGCTACTATAATCAAATCATCGGCCCAGATAATCACTATAATAATATCATCGCCAATTAGCTTCTTGTATACACAATAGTCGGCTGGGTTTCTTTCAAAATTGTTTCGTTCAAGGGGATCATGCAAGACCCTGTTCCAATTTCTCCCTGCTTATTTTAGGCGATACAGGGATTTCTTTAATTTACAAACTAATTTCTCTCCTGTTCCTGATTTTATTTCAAAACCCTCGGGTTGTTCTATGAAAATCTCTGCATCAATCGGAGCATGCAAGTACGCGGTTTTAACATCCATCTGGTGGATTTCTAGATCACTTTGTACTGCTAATTGCATCATGACTCGTATGGAAGTGATATTAGCAGTAGGGGCAAACGTTTCTATGTAATCTACACCTTTTATTTGGTGATAACCCTTAGTAACGAATCTAGCTTTGAACGTTTTAGCACCATCAATGTTTTCCTTGATGGTATAAACCCATCGACCTCCCATTAAGCTCTTACCCTCAGATAAAGTGGTTAACTCGAAAACGTCATTTTCCTTAAGGGATTGAAGTTCATCTTTCATTGCCGATTCCCATGCGGGGAAATCGGTGGAGTTCATGGCTTGGGTGTAATTTTGAGGAATCCCTCCCACTCTATAATAATAATCTATGGCAGAAAGAACTGAATCTTCCCCTTCGAAGTCAGGTAGGTATTCATCTAGATATTTAGGGGGTTTCTTTCCCTTTTAGGGTAACCATGGTTTTGGTCAGTGGTCTCATTTTGAGGGTTGCCTGCATTTACCTGTATATCATCCTTTGTTTCATTTTCAATTACCTGTACATTTTGATTACGTGAATCACTGTTATCATCTACACTTTGTTGGACTTCAGTTACACTTTTATCGTTTGATTTTGAACCTCCATATTAATTAACAACCGGCACATATTCATCGATCATTAAATCAACAGTTTGAGTCTGTTGTTCTACATTACTCTTTTTCATGAAATTCACCAGCCTATGTTTACATACATTTCCAGTATGTGGATAGTAGATCAAGTATGCAGGACTATTCTTATCATAACCCATGTATAAGCCCCTCTCGCATCGCGAGTCTAATTTCTTGTGTTCATGTTTATAAGCACAACACTCTGATCCAAATATCCACATTTGGGATAGGTCTGGTTTTCTACCAGTTAACAAGAAATATGCGGTGTTCTTAACTCTGTCATTATAACACCTATTACGAATATGAACAGCAGTTTGAATCGCATATGGCCACAGAATCTTGGGCAGTGATTTCTCCAGTATTAAGCATCTTCCCATTTCGAAAAGAGTCCTCCAATGTCTTTCCGCTGTACCGTTTTGGTGCAGAGAATAGGGGGACGATGTCTCATGTCTTATACCTTGAACTCTTAATAGTGACTGGAAAGCACTACCTGTGAATTCTGTGCCATTGTCAGATCTCATGCGTCTAACCCTACCATAGGGTGAACTGTCTGCCAGGAATTTCTCTGTTACCAAGGTTGTGTCGGTCTTGTTTCTAAGGAAATAAACAATGGAAGCCCCCGAGTAATCATCTGAAAATACAATGGCATATTTAAATCCATCCTTAGCTACTGGATCAATGGGACCCGCCAAATCGGTGTGTATCAATTCCAAAGGTGCACTAGCCTTAACATCAGGTTCTTTATACCTCCTGTTGGTAAATTTACCCTCAGTACACACATTACAATCTACCCTAGATTCTGTACCTGTAATTTTCATACCCTCTACCACCTCTGGCAATTTCAACACATCATTAATGTTGCAGTGGCCCAAAATCGCATGCCATGTTTTAACATCACAAGCTAAATTCAATTTTATTTACCGTGTTCAAATAGTACAGTCTTTCGTGTTCTTCTATAGCAAAGACTGTCCCATCTTTATGAATTAGATCATTCTGTCCATCTTGATATCTAAATCTAGCTCCATTCATGGTGACTGCCTTTACTGAAAATAGACCCTGTGGGTAATGTGGTATAAACAAAGCCTCCTTTAGTGTTGTCTTTATGCACTTTCCTTCTATATCTTGCAAGAATACTTCTGCATCCCCTCGTCGCAATGCGACGTTGTTCATTTTCTTTCCATCTGCCAGTACCATGAAGTGTTTGCTAGGATCGAAGGCATCATCAAAATATGTCAACTTATCTATCTCTGTTATAATGTGGGATGTTGCGCCGCAGTCCACCATTAATCTCTTTTTCATAACACTATTTTGACTGATCATGAACGTAAATGTATGTTCTTCAATAAGCCTACTTGTTTTTCAGCCACTTGCTTTGCATTATCCTTGCCTTTGTGCTTGTGTCTTCTGCACATTTCATCACTATGTGTGTAACTCTTGTGGTAATTGCACCACTTTGTTGACGATCTTCTGTTCGGGCATTTTTTTTGCGATATGGCCTTTGCAATTACATTCATAGCAAGTAACTGATGAGACATCTGTCTTCATTGCTTGTCTACCTTCTGTTTTACGTTGTACTTTTCGGTTTCCTCGTAGCTTCGTAATTGACTTTTGAATTGGGTTATTTCATTATGGTTCTGGGTAATGTTAATTGTGAATGGTTTATATGATTCTAGCAGGCCCTTCAAAATCATTGCTATTATCAAACCATCACTTAATATTTCTTTTCCAATTCTTAAATATGTGATTACTTTTTCAGCCCGAATGATGTACTCGGTCACTGTCTCCTCCGAGCTTTACTGCAATGAGGTCAGTTCAGTGTATAAAGCAATAATTCTGGGCTTACCCTGACTAGCGTAATGCTCTCGTAGTATTTTTAAGGCTTTGCTGCCGTCATCCGTCGCCTCCTGCATCACTAATGACAGGCTTTTGTCGTCTAGAAACTGTATTAGTTCTGCATAGCACTCTTCATTCTTCTCCTGATCGGGATCAGCGGCGGTAATCGTGTCCTTCAGTTGCAACATTCTTAGGTGGCCTAGAAACTTGGCCTCCCAGATTTCGAAATTGTTTTCGTCTCCATCGAAAACTAGCCTTCGCCACCGGCTGCTAGAATCACACCTGGGCCCACCATAACCTGTTAAGTTATTATTTTCTGTTGGGTTGTTTTCTGCTAAAAACTATTTGAGAAACATTGCCTCTAATGTTATTAGACATAAGGTCATCCAAAGGTGCTTCTCCAGCGTGTACATTCCGTCATAATGGACTAATCGTATCGACCCCTAGCGACATTTGTAATGTGTTTTATAATTAGTTTAGTTCGGTTTATAATCCCCCACCCCCTTCTGATTTAGATTTACATAAGCTTTTAAATACTCCTACTAAGCATAGTGGTCATCCAATGAATGATTTTCTTGTTGATGTTGACACGATCTATAATTTACTAGGAAATATTTCATATGAATTTGTAAGAGCCAAAAACAGCACCTAACAGACCAGATTATTTCTTGCTTTCTAGCGCGTATCATTTAATGTTTCCTGTGCGAGTTCAGCGCGTAATGTAGGCTACGTAGTGAACCGTCGAACGCTTGCATTCATTTCACTGTAAGATGTGAATTTTGAGGGAAGCAAAATTATAACTGCAAACCTAATTATATTTACATGATGAGAGTCTACTAATCATAAGCTTTCCATTCATATATTTCATGAAGTAAAAAGAGAAATAGAAAGGGTCTAACTTATCAAACACCAGGCACACTCCAGTCTTCGCATCAGACGGGGTCGTGACAAAGTGCGAGCCAGCGAGTCATGCGAGCCAATGAGCGAGCCATGCGAGCCAGCGAGCCATGCGAGCCATATATTTTTAAGTTATAAAATTATAGCAGTTTATGGCCTAATAAATATAACTAGAGTTATAGGCCAAGGCTTAGGCCCTGTCTCTTATACACATCTAGATGTGTATAAGAGTATTTCGTCTCCCTCGGGACAAGACACTGCAGGCGTCAAACTGCCCAATTAATTAAACATAATAAGGAAGGCTGGGGTACTTGGCAGGCTGCCTAGGCCTAAATACTACTAAACTTTGATTCGAAAACGTGCACAATGTAATTGTTAGATTTAGCCCAATCCAAAGTCAAATAAGTTTCAATTTTTTTACTGTTTGATATGATTATCATTTTTTTAAAGAAAGAGACAGAAGAAAATAAACATAAAACGACTTTCATATAAAAACTAATACCAACAGAAATGACAGATTAAATGCCGAACAAACATTTATTCATAAATTTAATAGCATTAATATTGGCCTCAATATAGATGTAGGCATTCTCAGCCACTATAAGATGATAAGACGTTTGTTATACTAACTCCATTGTTCATAATTAGCTCCATGACTGCACAGATAGTTTATCTGCCTAGCTCCTGTCTCTTATACACATCTATGTATAGGCTACGTAGTGAACCGGCGAACGCTTGCATTCATTTCACTGTAACATGTGAATTTTGAGGGAAGCAAAATTATAACTGCAAACCTAATTATATTACCATGATGAGAATCTACTGATCATAAGCTTTCCATTCATATATTTCATGAAGTAAAAAGAGCAATAGTAAGGGTCTAACTTATCAAACAAACACCAGGCACACTCCAGTCTTCGCATCAGTCGCCGGAGAAAAATTATTACGCTGAAACAAGCGCCTGTATACAATACAGTCAATGGTGTTTGGAAGGCTTTATTCTATTGGTTTCCAAAAGTGACGGAGCTAAATATTGACTAATCACAACCATTTTTACAACAAGTATGGTAGAAAGAATAAAGATCAACTTACAGAGAGAAAAAAACCGATTGTTCAAATACTTTGCGAGTTATTCTGATTAAATTTGGTAACATGAGCCGCGAAAAGTAAAAAATCTGCTTTCTACGCTGGAAATCCAATGTAGTTGCCTACTTTTAATCGAAAAGTGACAGGATAAAAAATAAATCTATTTCGTTTAATTTAATCTCATTAGAAAGATGAAAGATAGTTATTTTATTTTAAAAAAGGAGGAAATTGATCTGATGTGCAGTTCAAAAATTATTGTAGAAAATGCTGTAAAAAAGGGTGTTTTCATGCTTTTAGAGCACTTTTATCAATTTATGCCAGCGCGCTACTAAAGAGCGCGTAAAAATTCATATGATACAAAGTCAGCTAGGGTCCAGACTTGATAAGTTCCTGTGTTATAAAAAAAAAAAATTTCTTCATGCTGGCACAGTGCCACTTGCCTGGAAGACAGCTAATATAGTCCCAATATACAAGGTGGGAAACGAACCCAGGGAAAATATTACTAGTTACAGACCAATCTCGCTTACGTCAGTAGTTTGTAAGATCTTTGAGAGAGGTTTACTTGGTCCAGTTCTTGAGTATACACAGTGTTGTGTCTGTGTCTAGAAAGTAATCTAGCGCCCTCTCTTAGTAGAATATGTAATGAGCGTAAGAAAACTTATACTGTATGAATGCGTAATGAGCTAGAGTCGAGTAGTCGTCGTGCAGTGAATAAATGGAGATCTTTTAATGTTTACGTTACGAGTGAATGTCATTTATTCAAGTTCCTTACAATTCTACTATACAATATAACAATTTGGCGACGAGGATGGGATATGGCTTCGACTCCACCGCCTCCGTTTTTTTCTTAAAACCCCTGGGAATCCTCCAATACGTTGGGAACAGTGGAGAGGTATGTTTGAAACCTACATGGTTGCATCAGCAGCTATACGCTACAGTGCGGATAGAAAACGTGCATTGCTACTCCATTGCTTGGGAACGGAGGGACAGCGAATATACAGTATAACTCGCTGCCTGATAATAATGTGGCCGCTCAGCTGGCACAAGCTCAGGAAGATAATGCAGCTCCTCCTGATATTTATGAAATTGCCATTGATAAGCTAAATAATCATTTTACACCAAAGCTAAAAATGTGGTAGCTGAACGATATAAATTCAGAAAACGAACACAGCGCCATGATGAGTCTACGAACGATTACGTGCGTGAATTACGTCAGTTAGCAATATCTTGCAAATTCGGAGATATGACTGATGAAATGATACGAGACTAGGTCGTAGAGCGTACATATTCAACCCAAATTCGCGAGACTTTTGTTAGAACCTAACCTAACATTAGATATTACAATGACGATTGCTAGGCAAATAGAATCTGCAGTTAAAGAGTGCAAAATAATTGCCGAGTCTAATTCAGATGCTAGTAGTAGTACTATGAATAATTTAGGCTTAAGATTGGCGTAAGAAGAGAACAACTACAAGAGTTCCTCAACCTACCTTGCAACATAGTAGACCTAGAAAGGTATTTTCTCAGTGCTATAGATGTGGTGATAAATCATACAAAGAAAATAACCCTAAATGCAAAGCTCGCAATGTAACTTGTTTAAGGTGTAATAAAGTAGGTCATTATGCTAAAGTGTGCAACTCTACACCAACTGCAGTTGGTCAACTTAATTCTGAATTGCATGTTTTGAAATTAGGTACTGATTTAAAGATTGTTAAAGAAGTAATGATCGGTGCATCGGTTCCAGTCAAAATGACTGTGGACACAGGTTCTCCTATTTCTATAATTCCTATGTCAATGTTTAAGAAGTACTTTGTATTAGAGACGTTGGATAATACAACAGTGAAGCTTACAAATTACCTTAAAGAGCCTATTAATGTATATGGTACATTCAGAACAAATGTTTGCTTGCCAGGTTATCCAAATGTAGTAACAGAGATATTTGTTGTTGAATCTGGAATTCCTATTATGGGATTGGATTTGATTAGTAAATTGGGAATCAAAATTTATGCAGGCAAAATCATGGTGGTTGAAGAAAAGTCTAATGTGAATGAGAATAAAGATATCAGAAAGCAATACAGTGTATTGTTCAATGAGAGTGTGGGTCTTGCAAAGAATTATGTACATAAAGTTACGGTTAATCCATCAGTAATACCTGTACAACAGAAATTAAGAAACTTGTCATACTCTGTAAGAAAAGAGGTAGAAAAAGAGTTGGGAAAACTAGAAGCTAATGGAATAATTTAAAGAATATATGCTAGTGAATGGGTTTCTCCAACGTGCAATCTGGTGTTCCTCAGGGATCTGTTCTTGGCCCCATTCTGTTTAATATTTTTGTACTTGACCTGCCGTCTGATATTTCTTCACACGTTCTACAATATGCGGACGATACAATTTTATATAGAGCCATTAGGTCTTCTGCTGACCAGCAGTCACTCCAAAATGATTTGAATATTATTCTTAATTGGAGCATAACTAACAAGATGCTCCTTAACTCATTAAAGTGCAAGTCGATGCGCATAACTAGGTCATCAAGGCTACAAAATAGTGCTCATGTATATAATATAGGAATCCTGTCTCGGCCTGTTTCAGATTGTTTATGCTTATATTTTGTTGTATTGTAACCGGTTGTTGTTTTTTATGTATTTTATTGAGACAAAATAAATGAAATGAAATGAAATGAAATGAAATGCATATAAGAAGTCTGGAAAAGTAAGATTGTGTTGACCTTAGAGCTCTTAACAAAGCTGTAATTGTAGGCAAGTATCCACTTCCTAAAATACAAGAGTTACTGAGTGAATTACATGGTGCACAAGTGTTCAGTTCACTTGTTATGAACTCTGCTTACCATCAATTATTGCTTCATGGAGATTCACGTAACCTAACCACTTTCATTACACATGTCGGTCTGTTTCGATTTAAGCGTGTTTGTTTTGCGTTAGCATTTGCGTTTCAAAAGCTAATGGCATCGGCACTAAGCGGACTTAAAGGAGTTCCGTGCTAATTAGATGATATTGTGATTTTTGGGAAAAATCAAAGGTTTTACAACGACTTATTAAGTTAGAACTTACTCCTAATTATGACAAATGCAAGTTAAGTGTTCAGTCGCTTAGATTCCTTGGTCATATTATTTCTGCTAATGGGTTAAGTCCTGACTCGAAGAATGTGGAAGCGATAAGAAATGCACCAATTCCAACAGATCAAACAATGTTGAAATCCTTCTTAGGACTTGCTTCGTATTATGCTAGGTTTATACCTAATTATGCAATGCTACTTGAACCGTTACGATCACTAACGCGTAAAGATTCAGTTTATAAATGGTCTGATGAAGCCCAGAGATGTTTTGAAACTGTAAAAGAAAAACATGGAAATGCTACTATGTTAGCATTGTTTGATCCGGATCTTAGTACTTTCGTGACTACTGACGCTTCACCGTATGGTATTGGAGCGGTATTGTCGCAAATTAAAAATAACATTGAATATCCTATTGCCTTTGCCTCCAGATCCCTTAGACAAGCGGAGAAAAATTACTCTGTGAGTGAAAAGGAAGCTTTAGCATGTGTTTGTGCATGTGAAGAATGGTACAAATATTTGTGGGGTCGCCACTTTTCGCACAGATCACCAAGCACTTACAAGCTTATTAACAATGCGTGGCACAGGACACAAGCCAATGAGAATAGCGAGATGGGCAGCAAGATTACTGAATTTCAATTACAGCACATAGTATCGTCCAGGAAACCGAAATAATGTCACTGACGCACTGCCTCGATTACCGCTGCCCGAGACAACAAACACATTCCAAGGTGAAGGCGAAATAATTGTGCAGTGGATATCAGCTCTGTTAGTCGATGCAACAGTAATTACAATGGCTCAATTACAAAAAGCTACGAACGACGATATTACTTTAAAGTAGATTGAAGAATACACTATTAAAGGATGGCCTAGTAAGAAAATGTTACAGCGGATGTGCAAAGGTATTTTATACTTCAAGAGGAATTGTCAGTTGTGGACAATTGTGTTATGAGAGGCGATCGATTTGTAATACCAACTAGCTTAAAAGCGGAACTAATCAACATTAGCCATCTAGCGCACCAAGGCATTGTTCGTACAAAGCAACGTCTTAGAGAGTTATACTGGTGGCCAGCAATGGACAGAATGGTAGAAGAGATAATTCGTAATTGTTCAGTTTGTCAGGCTAGTGATAAAACGGCATATGTGAGAACTCCGCCTTTACAACCTGTTACCCTTCCAGAAAGCCCGTGGAAAAAGTTATCGATTGATATTACTGGTCCATTTGAGAAAGCATCGCAAGCATACAGATACGCTATTGTTCTCATAGACTACTACAGTAAATGGCCAGAAATTGCGTTTACGCGAGCGATAACGACAGATTCAGTGTGTACAATGCTTAATTCCATTTTTGCGAGAGAGGGGTTGCCAGATGAAATTGTATCTGATAACGGCAAACAGTTTACTTCAACCGAGTTTGAAACATATTTGGAAGCTAGAGGAATTCGACATATTCGAACATCACTTTATCACCCTCAAGCTAACGGGCTCGTAGAAAGATTTAACAGAGTGCTTAATTAGCAGACGTTACAAATAACAAATTTAGAGCATTCTTCATGGAATCTCGTTTTCTTGGATCTACTAACTGCTTATAGATCAACGCCCCATGCAACAAATGGGAACTCTCTATCTGAAATTCTGCATAACCGTCGAATGATTACGCCATTAAATATTCGTCACGCAAGTATTGCAACGCGAAAAGCGTCATCAGAAATTCGCAATAGAGTAGAGGGTATGCAACAAAAATCTAAGGAGTATACTGATACAAAACGTAGTGCAACCAAGCCAGGTTTTCGTGAAGGAGATTTTGTACGCGTTAAGAATCCACGACATGTTCACAAAACAGACAAGCGTTATGGATTGCCGCAACGTATTAAACGAGTTAAGGGTCCTTATACCTACCAACTTGAAGATGGACGTATTTGGAATGCTTCGCATTTGACTCAAGGAAATAGACCTGAACTTTCTGATTCAATAAACACTCCTGTAGATTCCCCTAGAGATAGGTCTAGGCCTAAGAGGAATATTAAGAAACCTACTTGGGTGGAAGATTATCGTTGTAACATTATGACATGATGCTGGCTTAGGTTTAATTTCAAGTTGTTCATTGTAGAAGCCAAGCTAAACGTTTAGATTTAAAGTTCTTGAATTGTTCTGAGTTGTGTTATAATGTGTACCGTACTTTAAACATGTATCTTTCCATTCTTTCATGAGAGGGGAGAATGTTGTGTCTGTGTCTAGAAAGTAATCTAGCGCCCTCTGTTAGTGGAATATGTAATGAGCGTAAGAAAACTTATACTGTATGAATGCGTAATGAGCTAGAGTCAAGTAGTCGTCGTGCAGTGAATAAATGGAGATAGTTCAAAGTTTACGTTACAAGTGAATGTCATTTATTCAAGTTCCTTACAATTCTACAATACAATATGACACACAGCAATATAACATTTTCTCTCACTTTCAATATGGATTCCGTCAGGGCCGTAGCACCGAGCAGCTCCTTGCTGTTTCTTTTATATGTAGCAGATTTTGGTCAACTTTTGACGTCGTCTTGTCTTGTTGACCAATTCGCCGATGACATACTCAGTCGCATCCTATAAACTCTCTCTCGGACATGACTGAATCCAGAAAAATATTGATCCATTTTCTCGTTGTTGTGTTGAAAATGGTCTTCCACTTAATCTTAGCGAAGGGCTCTCGAGCTGACATCCCTCCTCCAAATTATCTTATCAATAGTTCACAATTGGCAGTTGTATCTATAGCCATCATTTTGACATATAATCTTAATTTCCGTTCTCGCATTCGTGCTGTCTGCTCAAGAGCTTCTCACACGCTTGGTTTTGTTTCTCTAATTTCCGTTGTTCTTGGTCCTGACTTATTTAATTATTTATTTTTTTTAAATCTTTAGTTTTGCCTGTTTTTGATTACTGTTCTTATATTTGGTGTCCGTACGAGAAAAACTCTATACAAAATATACAAGGGGCCGCCACTCGTATTGCCTACATACGCGGTGGTGGCAAATATGATGATCGTCCATCATATCCTGAACGTTTGCGTATGTATAACCTTTTTCCACTTGCAGTTAGGAGAAGTGTATCCAGAGTCTCGTTGGCTTCCAATTTCTATAAGGGCTTCCCAGAGGACATTAATGTTCCTTTTTCCCATAGTAACCACAATCAATCTCGTCTCATTCGGCCATTGTGTGTGCATAAATCATTCGAAAACTCCACATACGTGGATGATGCAAGACTTTTTTAATACTTGTTTTTCATTGTTCTTTTACAGGTTAGCGGTTTAGAGAGAATTCACCCTTGGTGTCAAGCTTCATCCCATTTTTCTCTCTGGGCATGCCACTAACCTGCCTTTTTGAATCTCCTGGTTGTTTTTTTTTTTAATTTTCTGTATAACATGCCGAATTAATAATAAATAAATAAATACATAAACCGTTCCGCCGAAAATTGGAAAAATCAAAATGTCCACCAAAAAAACACAATTTTGGCAGTTTAAAGGCTCAAAGTTAAAAGTGCCCAATTACCATGATCTTGGTGTCAATACCTATGGCTTTTAGTTCAAGGAATCCAATAAACCATTATTAAAGTACAATAACATACATCTTCATCGTAGAAAACGCAAAAATAAATAAAATATTCAAAATGGCCGCAAAAAAAAAAACAATTTTGGCAGTTTAAAAGCTTTAAGTGGCCACATTCCCATGATCTTGGTGTCATTACATATGTTTTTTAGTTCAAGAAATCCAATGAAACATTATTAAATTACAAGAACATACAACTTCATGGGGAAAAATGCAAAAATAAATAAAAGATACAAAATGGCCGCCAAAAAACACAATTTTGGCAGTTTAAAAGCTGTAAGTGCCCATATTACCATGATCTTGGTGTCAATTTCTATGTTTTTTAGTTCAGGAAATTCAATAGAACATATACAAAATACTATCTTCTTTGTGAAAATACAAAATTAAAAGTGGCATTCAAAATGGCCGCTAAAAGAAAACGTGTTTTGCTATTAAAACGAGTGTCCTTAGTACCATGACCTTGGTGTCAATACCCATGTTCTTTATGTCAATGAATCAAATAGAGTACTACAATGATACGTCACGATACCACGTGATACTACTCCGTTGCTATCGTTGCAAAAAGCGTTCAACCGGACGCCATTTTCTCCACTGACAAACCATTGATCCCAATTGCTAACGTAATTATTAAGATGTTGTATCTTACTTTTTCTTTGTAAATTTTAATTAATGATTAAATGTATGTTCGATAACTAACATAATGCGAGCTTTTGTGTTTTTAGTTAGTACATTTTCCCAGAAAGCTATGAAGTCATTCAGGCGTAATGATCGGTAACTAACGTCTGTTGACAAAAGAGAGCGGCACCAGGCGTCGTGACGACACGACTGTAGTACTCTATAGAATGTGTACATAAACTGTAATAATATCTTTATTGTAAAAATAAACTATAAATTAAAAACAAGGTTTTTGGTACTTAAACGGCTGAAAATGAAAATGGCCCCAAAAGAAATGGGTTTGTAGGTTCACCGATTGAATATGTGTGTGTGTGTTTGTGTGTGTGTGTATCAAGGGCCGTGGTTCTCATCTGGGGAGGGGGTGCGAAAATGGGAAATGCGAGATCAGTGGAGTAACGAAGGGGCCAAGACACCGAGCCAGACGCTGGGCGTCAGGGGCCGCAAAGGGCGAAGGCCCAGCCTCTCTGGTGTTTGTAGCGGTTGTAACTACTCTTAATGTAAAAACGACGCATAATATAAAAAATAAATTGGCTAACGCATAATGTAAAAAGGTTTGACGCTTAATGTAAAAAATAATGCATAATGTGTGAATCATGAATTTTTGTTTATAGTCATAAGCATGTGCAGTAAAGAACTTCATAGTTAATTATTGAAATGCCTATGCGTGTAACGAAAAAAAAAATATCGCATTTTGGGCAAATTCACCTAGTGGAAAGAAACGGCGGCCGTATGAGTAAGAGGGCACATTACCACCGGGTACGTTAACAATAAGGAAGGAACGAATACACTGTATTTGTTTAGAATTACTGTAGTGTTTATTCACATTTTAGATAAAAAATGAGTTTTTATTTTGTTTTAAGACTAGGCATATGTGTACTTTTGTTGGCCTAATCAAGTTCTACTTGTTGCCCTGCAAAATTTCAATTGTAGTACAGGCAGGTCAATAATAATATTCATCGAGGTCGATGGCGTAGGTATGGAGAGAGAGTGTAGCCAGTACGAAGCACTGGAGTCCGGGGCTAAGTTCTTTAAATTTTAAAAGGAGCCCTCAATAATAATAATAATCAGGCTTTGGAGGTCATATTGATTATTTTCATTACATATTACGTATCACCATGCAAGTAGGATGATTTTTTATTTATTTTTTTAATTTTTTAATAAAAATTTTAAAAAAAGTCATTAACAGCAGCTTCGTATCTGTTGAAAAGGCTTCACGGTGTGCTGCACTAAAATACTTTTTTAAAAGCATATTTTTAAAGCAATTGAAATATTGGCGAGCACGTATTTGTTTATTGACGCCTAGATATAGGCCTGCTTGTAGATCTTCATTATGATATATGATATTTGGATTATTAGACTGCTCAAAATTTAATAAAGTATTGTAAACAGCAACAAAATATTAGCAAATTTGCTACTGTTAAATCACGAGCAGTTTGTCAATTTTTGGAGTGCTTTTCCCACGCTTTGCATGAACTGGTTGAGTAGATGCGCGTACATCCCTCTGATTTGCGGTTTGCTCTAATTAAATTGTCTCAAATGTACGAACCAAGACTAATAAAAGTGCGTCTAGCTCGCAAATTTGCAAAAAGTAGCACCTAAAATTGGTACCATGATAAAGCTAAGGCTATACTAAAGATGGTGATGTAAAAATTAAAGCATGAATCCACATGAATCTAAACTTTCTCTACTACTTTTCTAAAAATAGATTTTTAAATATTTTTTCTGTCGTTTAAACAACGATTTATTATTGATGCAATTTATATACAAGAAACGTGTACATTTTGAAGTAATTCCAAATTTTCTGTAAGAAAAAAAAACGTGTTTTGGTATAATGTATTCAATTATAGCATTTGAAATATTTATAGAGAAATTTCCGACATTTGTTGAAAAATACCACCCTTAAAATGTGTTTAAATGTAATATGTTCTCAGGATAGATTCACCATGGTATACCCCTCTTCAATCATGTGGAAAAAAAGTGTAAAAGCCATAGACACCAAAATGGACTTTTGGCACACTTTGATTTCGCCCAGGTCCACTGTGCGCCCCTTGGATATTGTTGCTAAGGCTAAGGTCCAACAAAACGAAAGTGTGAAAAATATTACACAAACATGATGTTCACTTGTGGGATAAACGTGTGCATGTGAGACACAGACACGCGCGTATTCCTGGTCTTGCTTTGATTGGTCCGTTGTTAAGTTTGATTGACACTCCGGAAAGGCCCATTACATTATTTTCATACATTTCATTATTTTCAAATTTAAAGATAATTAGCATCCTAGATTATTAGGCCTATAGATACATGTTTAGCCATGTTCGTTATTAAATGGTCGTTCAAAATATAAAGGTCTGTGTTCTATTTTGCCATTTATTGGTATCCTAATAAAATTATAATTATTTTAACGTTAGGATTACGATTGTTTTCTTATTTCTCCGGGCATTTGGCACACTGAACACAATTAATTTTTATCACTTCGAGAAACTTTCATAATAGTCTTTGCGAATACGTACGCCCTCTGTCTAATTCCACACTTGTATTTCCGTGGTACCTGTTACCTACACTATCCAATTTCGTTGACCAAAAAAAAAACTGTTGTATGCCCATATATAATCATGATGTACCTATAGACATGGCCATGATGTGATGTCATCATAACCATATTTAGCATGTCACATGCTTTTGTCAAATACAATTTGATAGTCTGGCTTGGGTTTAAGACAAAAAAATCCAATGCCATGACTAAAGCAGATTCGAGTGGAACGAATCATCTATTTAATATTTATGGTAAAGACAATAACTTATCGGCCCACCAGCAATTATAAACAGATAAAAATGAAGAAGCTTTGTAGTGCGACCATTATTTTTACGTATGTCTCATTACTCTTGCACATAATAAATTGTAAATGTGGATAATAAATTAGGATTTGTTTTATTCAAGCTATATACCATAGTGCAAGAGACTGAATGTATTAAGTGCATGGGAAAATGCATAAAATTCAGACTTAACACTCTTACATTGAACTGCAAATTATGTTTAATATTTCTTCATCAAACTTCAGTCACATTCATTAGTACACAAAAATAGTCGTATTCATTTTTCTTTAAATTATTGGCAACAATTATTGGCCCTCAGGCAGTAGGACACTTTGCTATCCTGGTCAATCCGGAAGCCTAAAGTTGACATTGTGAGCGTGAGTTGACATTCACAAAAGTGTAAAGTAAGAATCCGGAAGTGTAAAGTTGACATTATGTCACATTTGTGATGTGTGATATGACGTGACTTTACTACTACCCATAAACTCGGTCGTTTGTGGTACGATGCATTGCTAGCCAATTCGTCATTATATATCAGGTGCACAGTTCCGAAAGTTGGAAGTTAAAATTAAATCGAGTAGAAGTGGTTAAACGGGTCAACAGTTGAACTCAGGTCGAGACTGTTTTCCTTGTGGTTGTTCCCGTTTTTTTTTTTTTTCTACCCTAACTCGGTGGTTTTGGAGTTGATGGTTGTTCCCGTTTTTTTTGTTTTTTTTCTACCCTAACTCGGTGGTTTTGGAGTTGATGCTAGCTTATTATTAATATTAACAATATCAATCATCAGTCAGTCTGCACAAATTGAAAAGCTTGGATAATGATAAAAAGCACCGTTTCTATTAAATTTGGCAGTAGACACCAAATTCGTGCTCCAAATTCCATCAATGACCAATATCCGCTTAAAATTACTTACACAGATTCACAGGTCTTATACACATCTAGATGTGTATAAGAGACAGGTTTATTCACATTTTAGATAAAAAATGAGTTTTTATTTTGTTTTAAGACTAGGCATATGTGTACTTTTGTTGGCCTAATCAAGTTCTACTTGTTGCCCTGCAAAATTTCAATTGTAGTACAGGCAGGTCAATAATAATATTCATCGAGGTCGATGGCGTAGGTATGGAGAGAGAGTGTAGCCAGTACGAAGCACTGGAGTCCGGGGCTAAGTTCTTTAAATTTTAAAAGGAGCCCTCAATAATAATAATAATCAGGCTTTGGAGGTCATATTGATTATTTTCATTACATATTACGTATCACCATGCAAGTAGGATGATTTTTTATTTATTTTTTTAATTTTTTAATAAAAATTTTAAAAAAAGTCATTAACAGCAGCTTCGTATCTGTTGAAAAGGCTTCACGGTGTGCTGCACTAAAATACTTTTTTAAAAGCATATTTTTAATTATGTTTGATACGATTTATAACATTATGTTCCCATATATTTGTGCACTGTATTATGTTTTTCAGGAAAACAGTATTCAAACAAAATCATAATACTGATAAGTCCGATACTATCAGTGCTCATGGGTACTTACATATCAACGCACCAGCAATAAACACATCTATAATTGATCACACTTTACTAAAACAGGTCAATACTCACAAACACCTCCATTTCTGGCCATCTAGGTAACATAATCATAAAATCTCTCTCTGCTCTTTCAACAAATGACCAAAAATAAAGTAAAAGAAACAGAAAGAAGACAGTGACAAATAAAGAATGAAGAAAAAGCAAACTATCGATGGTGGTGGTGGTGACGGCGGTGGGGGCGGTGGTGACGGCCCCCCAAAAAATAGGTTGAGGGCAAGCAAAGCACTATCTAGACTAACAACTTTTATTTGACAAAAACTTGTGACATGCGTCAATATGGTCTTAATGACATCACATCATGGCTATAATAGGCCTATATGGGCAGCAGTTTGTTGTCAAAGGAAATTTCATAATCTGAACAGGGATTAGCACAAAACTACTTATTATTGTATGCGTGCTGTCTACGATCTGTAATTATTTTTAAAAATAATTGAAGATTATTGAGAATAGAATTTGTCCGCAACAGACAGTTCGCATCATCCCGATATTTTACTGTACTGCAGTATATGGCAGTTAATTTAGAATTGGTTACAGCATGGAGGAAATAAAACCTCCATGGTTACAGTAATACGGTACTTTATTAGACGGAATCATGTGCTTACAGTGCCTTACTGCCAAGATGCTTACTATCTGAGAGTATTGATGTATACCGTTTGATTTATGACGTAAGATTATTTTATGACAACATACGCTTCTCAGTAATGTTATTGGTCCATGTGCACACGCTTATCTTTGTATTATCGATAATGAAATAAGTTGTTAATCATGTTTCGATTTACATCGCAGCGGTCCAGTTGTAAACAGACCGATTCAGATTACACTAGGTAATAGGCTTATCTTCAAAGGATACTTCGGACCGGACTCGCAACCAACCCATTCGGTTCATATCCCACCACTTGTACATCACAGAGAGAAAGAATCACAACAGCAGGTGTTCAAAATGGATATGAAAATATGTCGCATAATCTCGATGATGGTGTTGTCCTTTACTTACTTCTTTATAGAAATAGGTGTGGGCTACTACACAAATTCGATTGCTCTCATTGCTGATTCTTTCCACATGCTATCAGACGTCGTTGCACTGGTGATAGCATTTGTTGCTATAAAGGTAATTATTATTTACGTTCACGCACGCACGGCCACCCACCCAAGGAGTGTGCCTTACAAGTTTAGGGTCAAAAATCGGTTAAAGATCACAATAAATATCGGCTACACCAACAAAGACACCAACACCTAAAATATCACAATTTTCAATTCAGATATATCTGTAGTCAATATTTACAGGCTAGTGTATTGTTTACGAGTTATTGGCGAATAGATAACCCTGGACTGAATCATGTTGTCCATGTCCTACTTAAAGATATAGGCCTAGTTGGAAAAAAATATATATACTGATCGTTACAATTCAGTGTTTGATTTGCTTATTTACTTGTTTGCGTATATTTTGGAAGTAAAATATTTGGTTTTTAATTGAAAATTAGAGAACGGAACGATACACATACTTTCTTTGTCATTTAACAAAGCATAAGTAGGCCTACCACCTCATTTGTAATAAACCCTAAAATTTGCTGGTATTAGAGAACGCTGACTTACAATACGTGTAAACAATACAATATGTGTAAACTTATTTGATCTTTCTATCAGCAATTGAATGTTTTGAATTTTACAGTACATTATACTGATTCATTGTATATATGAATACACATATAGCATACGATACTGCAGGGGTGAAAATAGATTCCTAAAAACCTCACAAATAAAGGGGGTGCGTCCGGGGTCCTCCCGCAGGAAAACTTTGATTCCTAGAAGGCCGCAAATAAGCTTTCCCGACTTCTAAGGTGTCTTTTAATGACTTTTAAGTTCTTAAAAATTAAAGGTTTTCCCCTCTTAAAACGGTCAGGTAAACTTTCTCCTTCTTATTACAGTAAATAGGCATATTATGTGTGTATACATACATAAGTATGAGTAGTTGCATACGCTTTCTTTTGTCCATGAATCGATGAACCCCAATGGGTCGGGGTATTCCCCAAGGGGTCGGGGTATTCCCCGGGAAAAGTTTGATTCCTAGATGGCGGGAAATGAGCTTTCCAAACTTCTTATTTTCCCATTGTAACAAAAAAAAAAAAAAAAAAAAAAAAAAGCAAAAGGGCCCAAAAAAAAAAAAAATCAGCTCACAAGTCCTGAAAAGGTAGGTCGAGTATTTGTATTTTATTTTGATTATTCCTGATTATTCTTCCAATGCGATATTTCAGTATTAGTTTATAAAGTAAAACAATAGCATATTTACACTTGCTATAATTAGGTTGTTACTCTAAGATTTACGCTTAATGGCCAACATCATAGGCCTACATATATTTTAAGTAGCAATTTGTTTTAAAAATTTTTTTTAAATAAATATTTTTTTTAAATAAATTAAATTTTTTTAAAATAAATATATTAATATTACAGAAATATAGTTAAATAAAATGCTTATACAATTGTATTATTAGTTTTCTATAATTTTTTTCAAGAATGTTAAATACGAAATATAGCACTAGCTTTAGTATTATTTAACTTTCTATAGGCCTACCACAAAGTTAAATTTTATGAAATATTGTAGGCCTAGTAACTTGTCTTATTGATTGTATTTTGTTAATGTGTAGGAGGACACCATTAAATTTGCTTTTGATTTTAGGGGTTTTCCAGATTGTACACCGTGGACCACATTATTATTATTATTATTAACAACTATAGTATTTGGCAAAGGATTCTACTGTCTACAATCTAAATGACGCACACGATCGAGGAAGCGTTCTTAATAAACCTAACTGAAGTATCAATTTCAAAATTGAGACCAACAGAAAAAAAAACGAAGGAAGGTGTCACGTCGTATTTTGTAATAATTTTCGTATTTCGTAATGCCTGTCGTATTTTGTAATAAGCCTTGTCGTATTTTGTAATACCGGTCGTATTTTGTAATAAAACTAGAGCTGTCGTATTTTGTAATATAACTCTCCGTCGTATTTTGTAATAAACTGAGCTGTCACATTTTGTAATAAAGTCTGTCGTATTTTGTAATAACACATCAAATGCATGTTTTCTACTATACATTTGCAGTTTTTGAGGGATTAAACAAAAACTTGTGTTAATGGTTTTTTTGGTGCGATTATTAGATACAGGAATGTCGCATTGTCGGTCGCATTTTAGAATCGCTCTTTTCTTCTATTAGTTGTACAGTTTCTGGTGGGTTAAATCAAATATTTTTTTTATTATTTAATGACTGTTTGGTGTGGTAATGTGATAATACGTCAAAGGTCATATATTTCTCTCCTTTTATTTTACAATTATGAACGTTGCATAAATATATAATTATTTATAGACGTGATAACAATGGCTTGTGATTGGGAACTGTAAGGTGTCAGACATGTCGGATCCCTTGTCGGCAAATTTCTGGTGCCACCTCTGCAGGGAACCAATGGATAAAACGTCTCATTCGAAAGATACCGTAACCTATCGTAACTTGCATTTCAGCCCTCCAACTGAAATACAAGGAGAGCAGCGATGGGAATTGAATACGGAACCAAGAGATCTCTACGGTTCAGCACACACACACATGTGGCTACACCAGTTTAACAAGCTGCTAGATTTTTTTTTCATTAAATTTTAATAAGCGTAATAATCGTAACGTTGCGACAAGTCAAACAGGCCTATGCATAGTATCATGTTAGCAATAGGTCTTTAATAATAAATAATAAACGTGACATAAGCAGCTGTGATTTTTTAAACATCGGTAAGCATTTTATTATCTCTTAATAATTTAATTAGTATAGGCCTAATCAATATCATTGCTCCTCGGTTTTCTTGGTTTTTTTTTTTTTTTTGCGCTTTAATTAGATTTATGTACTCTATATTTATTATCATTGTTATCTTATAGATTTGTATACTCTTTTTAGGCCTATCTGTTATTATTAACATCATCATCATCATCAATATAAAAAAATATATAAAAAAAACATCAACTGAATAATCATGATTAAAGGCAGGAGCGAAATAAAAAATGTCACATTCAATAATGCTCATTGCAGAACTAAAATTAAGGTGCAAGCTTTACTCAAAATTACTATTTATAATATTGAATTGAATAATATGTTTTAATGTATGGATAATTCGTACCTAAAAGAAAAATAAATGGCCAACGAATAAAGTCCTATGAAATATATATTATATATATGTATATTCAGGTAATAAGTATGCAGGTATTATTATAATTAACAGTGGCATGTAAATTTAAACAAAAGCAGTAAATAAGCAGATAGATATTTAAAGAAAAAAAATGTATTTTATATAATAAATATACTGTAGACCTACAAGCATTTCAGTTATAATTATACTCTAAATGGTTTAGTAAACCAAAATTAGACTTAATCTACGAAAAAATTAGAAAGAAGCAGATTTCAACTGATTTGTGTAGGGATACATACCAGGATACACCAAGAAAAAATTTAGGTGGGCTAGGAGGTGGGGAAAACTTTTTATGAGGGGTCAAAGGTTATTGACCCTGGTCTAAAATACTAAAAAATGTATCTCTGGAACGCTATATGGTATATGGTTGATCTTGGTGTCAAAATGCACAGAATTATACAACAAATAAAAAAATATATAACAGGACCCTCAAAACCAATTCATGACCTTGGAAAATGAGGTCAAAGGTCAAAATGTCAAAAATTGTATTTTTAGTCACTAAATTGGCATATATCATTTTAAAATATTACAATGAATGTGATTTCAACTGACTTGTGTAGGAATACATACTAGGATAACACCAAAACAAAGTGGGGTATAGGAGAGTGGGGAAATTACGTTTTTAGTGTTAAAGGTCATTGACACACTAAAGTATATATCTTGACACACTAAAGTATGTATCTTAGGAACAAAAAAATCATATATTGAATGCCATTTTTTGTAATATCAATTCTTAACATTTTGACCTTTGACCTCATTTGCTGATGTGATGCATTGGTTATGAGGGTCCTTTTATATTATTTTCTTAGTTTTTGTATTATTCTGTGCATTTTGACACCAAAATCAACCATATATCATAGAGTGTTCCCAAGATACATATTTTAGTGTTTTAGGTTGAGTCAATAACCTTTAACCCCAAAAACGTAATTTCCCTCACTCTCTTATACCCCTAACTTTGTTTTGGTTTTATCCTAGTATGTATTCCTACACAAGTCAGTTGAAATCACATTCATTGTAATATTATTTTAAAATGATATATGCCAATTTAGTTTTAAAAAAATACAATTTTTAACATTTTGAACTTTGACCTCATTTTCCAAGGCTATGGATTGGTTCTGAGGGTCCTGTTATATATTTTTTTATTTGTTGTATAATTCTGTGCATTTTGACACCAAGATCAACCATATACCATAGAGTGTTCTAGAGATACATTTTTTAGTATTTTAGACCAGGGTCTATAAGCTTTGACCCCTCATAAACAATTTTCCCCACCCACTAGCCCACCTAACTTTTTTTTTTGTTTTATCCTGGTATGTATCCCTACACAAATCAGTTGAAATCTGCTTCTTTCTAATTTTTTCACAGATTGGCCCAAATTTGGGTTAATTTTGGGATACTAGTTATCGTTCTGCAATGCATGTGATAATGTATTGAAATGAAATGTAAATTCACATTCACATTCTCCTAAGGAAAAAATACTGTATTTCACGTAATGACTATAGAAGTATTATGTTATAATTATACTTTGAATGGTTAATATGCAGAAATTCGTGTGAAAATGTATTGAAATGAAAATTGAAATAAAACCAATTGTTAAGCAGAAATAGATATTCAATTAAGGAAAAAGTATTTCAGGTAATAAATATAAAGGTATCATTGTTATAAATTTATTTTTAATGATAAATGTGCAACAAGTTAGGAGATAATATATGGAAATGAAATGAAAATGCACATAAAACAATAAGCGGAGATAAATATTCAACTAAAGAAAAAAGTTAATTGTATGGAAATGAAATTTAAATCCACGTAAAAACAATAAATAGTCTGAGATACATTTTCAACTAAAGAAAAAAAAAGTTCTGAATGCTGTTAGAAATTTTGTATTTATTAATTACAATTTTGTTTTCATAATTTTAGTATAATTACTGAATATTTTACTGTATTAAAATTTAATGTTAAAAACGAAGTTGAATAAATGTGAGTTTTCCCCACAAAAGAGAGAGCAAAAAAAAAAATCATTGGGCCTAATTAACTATTATATAATAATATTTATTATTAATATTATTAGTATTTGTATTTAATATTATTACTTTATTATTAATAATAGTATTATTAAATCAAAATACTACTGGTCTCTCCTATAATATTATTGTGTAGGTGTCAGTGAAGAAGTCGGATAGAAACACGTTTGGTTGGGCTAGGGCCGAGGTACTTGGAGCACTTGTGAATGCCGTTTTTCTACTGGGCCTGTGTTTCAATATTTTAATTGAAGCAATCCAGAGACTTTTTACAGATACCGAAGTTACAGATCCGATACTGGTGGCAATTGTCGGTTCAGTAGGCCTGTTCATTAATCTGATTGGCTTAGTTATGTTTAATGGTCAAGGTAAGAACCTGGTACAGGAAAATCGGGTTAGGTAATTTGTCGTGGAAATGGTATTTAGGTGGTTAAATGTTCAACGATATCATTGTCTTAGGGCTACGCACGGAGGTCTTTATTATAGGGTGGACATATTTCGTAACCCGGATATTTCGAGATCCCCTTCACTCATTTTGATAGGAAACTGGAATTTAGACGGTAAACATAAGGAAAGCTTACTATGCTTAGCCCTGAGGTGTCTAACATAGACAATTCTTAACGCGGACATTTTGAGGGTCGGTAACAGAGAACTTCTCGCAAACCTGACATTATTTATTTGTGTTTCAAAATGTCCGGGTTGTAAAATGTCCCGTGCACTGTTTCGCCCTCAGTCTAGAAGACCTGCATGGCCTACACCTCAGTTATTAGTAAATTAACATTTATATGTATCGACATAGTTCAGCATCATATCAAATAGCCCTATCTTACTGTAATGGTATAATTTGAAATGAATAGTTATTGGTGTTGTTGTTGTTGTTATTATAATTAGTTAATGTTGTTGTTATTATTATTATTATTTTTATTATTATTACTGTAGACTACTGTATCATTATCATTATATTCATCGTCATCATCACCACCACCATCATGGTTATCATTATCGTGATTATTATTATTATTATTATTATTATTATTATTATTATTATTATTATTATTATTATTATTATTATTATTATTATTATTATTATTATGCATATTATTATTATTATTATTAAAAATATAAACAACAGTGAAATGTTTTTAGAACTTACTCAACTATTTCTTGTTCATACAAACAACTTACATTAAGGTATATTTTTTCGTTAAGTTGCCGCCTTCATCTTGTTGAAGATTTTTTGCAATTGTATGACTTATTATTACTTAACGAAAGCTAAACTTGTTCTGTTCAGGACACGGCCATAGCCACGGTTTAGGTCACGGGCACAGCCATGGTCAAAACGAGAACTCCTATCTGTTACAGAACGATAGTCTATCTACGACTGGTGCTCAGATAAGTAAGTATGACAACACACAATAGTAAATACAAGAAACATTATTTTATAAACATTTTTTCCATTTTATTAAGGTTGGTTTTAAAATACTAATAAATAAAAAATAATTGTTTTTCTTTTTCGTCCAGTTCCGATTATTGGAAATTGGAAAAGTTTAGAAATGCTGAATGAGGGTATCGTTTTAGACATCTTCCAATTTGTCTCTTATTAAAATTTATTTATTATTATTTAATATCATCAATAATGACAAAACTTAAAAATGCTTATAAACATAAGCATGTGGGTAGGTAAACTCACTGGAACAGCCACAGATTAAGACGCAGTATTTCAGTATTTATTTCAGTATTTATTAGAACTCACTTTAGGAACAATGACACACACCTGTACGGTGGTACGTCCATCATCTCGAGTATATCTCCAAATAAACTGGACATGTTAAATAATCTAGAGATCTCCACGGTTGAGCGTGGAGATCTCTAGGTCCCCGGTTCAATTCCCATCGCTGCCTCTCCTTGTGTTTCAGCTAGAGGGCTGATATACAAGTTACAACAGCGCACCGTCTTTCGGATGAGACATTTAAGCCGTTGGTCCCGTGTGCATTATGGCCCATATGCACGTTAAAGAACGCAGTACACTCTTCGGAAAAAAGTAGGGTATTGTCTCCCGGTGTACTGCCCAATCACCACCAGAAGGATAGCCCACTTGAAATAAGTCTTCTTCTAGACTTTCGTGGGCTATCCTTGGTGTTTACAACGAATAAATTCAATCAATCAATCAATCAAACAATCAATAAACTAGTTTTATTGACAATATTATCAATAAAAACTAGTATTGTCAATAAAACTAGTAATTAAATACTACATGCCCAGTGCTTTATTTACTATCATATCAGACTAGCAAGGCTCATCTAATTTTATTTATCTAAATAAACTAGTATTATTTCGTAACTGAATGCCTCTTCTAAAAAGCAACCAGCAAGGTTTATATAGTATATCATAGAGTCATTAGTTACCACTTTCCACTAAGTTAAGTGTGAGGAGAAACAAAAAAGTAATTTAATGGAGTAGGCCTATGGATCAGGCATCATTCATCCTAGTCCAGGATATCCCTGATCCCTCAAAGCAAAACCTCTTGTTTTAAATTTAAACTATGGCTTTGCAGTTTATGCCAAAGATTCACTGCCAATTACTAGAGCCAAGCTCAAGTTTTGTGCTTTTTATTACCTCTCTCCCTCAGCATACGTTTTTGTCTTTCTTTATTGCCCTACTTCGACTGATAGTACATCGTGTAGCATAGCTCAATGTTGTCCTATAAATAAATGAAGAAATTGTGTAATAAAATGCCTATACGGGATTCCAACCTGTGACCTCTCGCTGTCAAGGCGAGCGTCATAACTATTTAGACCACAGAGGCTTCATGGTTGAACAGATTCAAATAACCGTCAGATCCACTCTATTACACATTAAGTATGGCTGGAAAAAAGTATTATTTCCAATACCATTTCAAATATTCGACTTTATAATCTTGGTTGAAAAAATAAAACCCTACAAATGTACGAAAAACAGCAGTTGATAAAGAATTATGGGGTTTATGAAGGTCAGAGATATAAATCAAGAAGTTTATTTATATTAAGAAGATATCATTTTCATAAACAAATATTGAGTGTTACTATAAAGAATTATTTCTTTAAGATGCTTAAAAATTTACCTTGAGTGGAATAGGGCCACATTCGGGGTGATCGAACTTAATATAAAATAAAGAAAAAATTTGAATAAAAAAGGCTGTTATTTCAGCTTCTGGAGACCAGATGAACATGAAAGGTGTTTTCCTGCATATTTTGGGAGATGCTCTTGCGTCGATTGTGGTCATTGTCAGTGCGTTAGCTATCCATTTCATTGAAAGCTCGTGGACAGTATACATCGATCCTGGCATTAGTATTGTCGTTGTCATCATTATTGTTAGTACATCGTACCCACTATGTAAGTACCATGCGTTTATGTTCTTTCTGTTCAAAACTGACGTTCTCGTTTGGGTCAGCATTCATCTACCTACTACTGTATGTCTATTGAAGCCAATCACCAAATTAATGTTCTCCGTGATTGGATAGGATCCAAACCCACGTGATTATGACATAACTCACGAGAAAGAATTGTCCTTTGCTTGAGCCTCATCTCACCTCATTATAAACTCAGTGTACAAAATGTTTGTTTGGTTAGGCCCACAATGACACAGACACCGAGGAATATTTTTTTACAGGGTCCTAATTTTTTTTATCAATCTGATGTCTAATTTAATGTTGAAAAAATCATTTGTATGTATTTCATTCTAAGTGCCCATCAATTTCTATATTTGCAGTGAAGGAATCGAGCATGATCCTACTTCAATCACTTCCGATTAACATCGATTTCAAAGATTTATCATCTAGAGTAAAAAAGGAGGTAATAGGCCTGTAGTTAATAGACCTAGTTTGTTTTATTTTTAATACTATTTAATACTGTTAGATATTAAATATTGAACCGTGTAAAATTTGCCATATTTTGGTCAGATTTGGCACCAAAATCCGAAATTCAGCAAAGCAACAACCTATTCCACGTGACCCAAGGCTTGGTAATGAGAATTCACCCGTTTTCGAGAAAGCATCAAATAATAAAAACATTTGTTTAGCTTAGACTTTCTATTAAATACAACATGTATCTTTAAATTTAGCAAAAAGTTTTATTCGTACTTTTTTGAGTCACGTCAACATACGCTTAGTAACATAATAGCCTCAAAATACCATTTTGGGGTAAAGAAAAGTGTAAAATTTGCCACTTTTGCAAGCGATAACGTTTGACATACTATAACTCCGAAATACAAAATGAATGTCTGAAATTTTTTATGTGGTCAGTTTCTGAAAAAGTATCAAAGATTGTTAGCTTAGTATTTTTGTATTTAATAAAATATGTATTATTAAATTTATTTTAAAAAAATATGTTTTGGTAAATTAACATAAAGTCATCATACACACATAATTCGATTGATAATTTTACTTGCATTTTGTATGATACTAAATATATTCAAGTAATTCAATCTTTAAGTGACGGAATAGCTTCAAATTTGGCATTTAAATGCAAAATTTAGCGTAGCAACAGCCCATTCCGTGTGAGCCGTGAGCTGGTGCTGAGGATTCACCTAGTTGCCAGCTTGTAACAAAATGACGCCTACGAACAAAACTTGTTGAATACTCTCAATCTGATGGCCACCAGGCCTGTCTATCGACCACGAAGGTGTCATAATTCCAAAAGAATTTTTCCTGACATCACAATATAGATATAGCACTATTAAACCAAGTGATAACTGGTCAGAGATGTATAAGGGAGCCCCTCTTTTGTGTATCATTTTCAGCAATCTGGATCTCGAATAAGATACTTGTATAGGCCTATATAGAATTGGATTTCAAGTGCTAAACGGCAAGCGGAAGCAAAAAATAAATAGGGGCCTACATTAACTCATAATAATAACTCTGGGTCACTATTCCTTCGTTTGATTTAACGGGTGGGATACAATTAGAGTATGGGTTATTACTACAATACCGGATCTCTATTATTGAGCATATATAGACATTCGAAAATAATAACCCGTCATGCTTCTAGTGCCGACAACTTACACAAATAACTATTCAAATACGATTGGTGAATTATTTCTATTATACAATACAATCCCCGAGTACATAACTCAAAAATAGGCCCCTACTGTAAATCGCATAGTGGTATACACGTTCACAGTTTTACGTATAGTAATTTTTAAAAAATAGAACCAGATAAAAAATGTTTATTCGGTTGTAATTTGTAAACCTATAAAACTGTGTGTGAATTGCTTTTTCACTCTTTCTTTGTCAACGCTTGACTTAAATATATATATAGGCCTAATAATGTCTAATCAATTTTTATTTTAGTTATCCGAAGACAATCTCCACGAGTTTCACGTTTGGCAGTTGTCAGGAGATGTCGTTATAGCAACAGCGCACGTGGTGTTCGATGGTAATGATGTAAGTGAATACATGAAAAAAGCCGAAATGTTGCGTCAAATGTTTCATCGAAATGGAATTCATTCGACTACGATCCAACCAGAGTTTGTCAATGCACCGGTGGTCAATGTAAGTATAGAAGACGGTGGGCGGTACCGTTCGAGGTCAGACGTTCAAATTCTGCCCGATTGTAATTTGTTGCGGCCATCTTTGGCTTGAAAACTCCCTTTTGTTACGGCCCACCGCCGATTATTAGTAAAAGTACTTATTAAACAAGCATAATACAATAACAATACAATATGTAATTTAAAACACCTTTGTTGGTATAATTGAACTAAATGTAAAGATTTAAGGCTAAATTAAAAAAGTCAACTTTGCGTGCGGTTCTCCGTCGATGTTCATTAAAAAATCATGCTGGCTTTCTGGTAAATTTGTTGTATGCCCACCCTTGGTATTATAGAGCATATATCTTTTTCTAATAAAGTTTTCATTTCAGGTTTGATATCCAGTTTGAATTTTATTGCTGGAATGATAAGAGAATGCTATAACATACATAAGAAGTGCGATGGTGGCGATTATTTTATCATTATAACCCTATGTTTTCTTTTATCTAACCTTTACTTTTCTGCCACTAGAAAAGAAGCTTTTTTTATTTCCCTTATGCCCAGTCGTTCTCTATGTGATTATTCTTTTAATATTAATTAATGTTGTGGTCATTTAAATATTTCGCGAAAGAGCTAAACCACAAGAGGTTGAATACAACTGAGTTTGCCACATTTAGAAAGAAAGAAATAATAGGTCTAGTTGTATGCCTACAAATATCGAATTATTTGAGGTAGGGGCTAAAACCTATTATAAGCATATTTAATTAAGAATCATTTGCATATTGTATATAGGCCTAATAATGGTAGTGTATAGCTAGCTGGAAAAACATGCGATAGTCGCAATAGGCCTATTATGGTTGAGATAATACGAGATTAGCTACAAGTTATATTATATATATATATATATATATATAAAAACATATATTGCCTTGTATATATATATTTATTATTTCCACGTCATGCAATTCTAAAAAAAAAATAAAATGACTAAAATCATAGGATTACTTTCCTCCACAACAAAACAACTCCATTTCTAACAATTAAACTTAGTTTGAGTAAAGCATAATGTTCTATTGTTTGTCTTGTGAAAGGTGACTGTGCCGCAGTATGAGCAGCACTTCACTATTGACTAAGCTTGGCTCATCTGCCTTATTGAAAGTGAAATAAACTACCGAAAATGATCTATTGACATGATGGTTTCTTCTATAACTTCCATTTCTCCTAAAGTGAAGGTAACGATAGCTTTCACTGAACCTAGACACCGGTAATTATTCAAGAAAACTTAACCTTTCTCTACTACGAACGAAACTATAATATCTAATGTTTAGTGTCTGCATGTTGGCGGTCGTGATTTATAAGTGTGTTTCTGGTTCTGCTATTTCCGGCCATCTAGAAGTCCCTATTAAAAGGAAAAAAATCTCGTATTGGGAGGAGGGACACCCCCTGCCATACCCGCCCTGGCTCGGGACTTCGGCCCTCAGATAACGGTGCGCGCTATAATAATTACACCCATAAATACTTAGCCCCCTAGTCGGACATCTTAGCCCCCACCCCCCCCCCCTCCATAAATTATATCCTATAGCCGCCACTGAGGCTGAGGTGATCGAATTCTTAAAATAGACACCTCTAGATGCTCGGAAATGGAACTTTCAGATTGCTAAAATACGTTTTCAACTCAGTGTTTTCAACAAAATGACATGCCTCGAACCTGCTCTCAGAATCGGCCGCTGGCCGTTGACGTCGCTAATGGTTTCAACGCATCATATTAGCGCTCTCACTTAATCCTTTTTTCCCCATCAGTCAGCCTTTCCTCCCCATATCAATACTCTACGCCACTGTATACAGAGAGCTACACTCATAATTCAGAATCTTGAATGCCAATGTAGGTGCTCGTATTTCTATAATAGCAGAAAACCCTTTCTCTTAAGTTAATCGGCCGGAAAAAAATTTTTTTTTCAGCAATATCGAGCGGGCCAGCTCAAAATCCGGGCGGCCGTAGTTGATCCGCGGGTCGGGGGTTAAATACCAGGGCTGTACATGATTGAAGCATCATGAACAATAAACTTGGTAGTAAATATTAAATTAGTATAGCGCTGTGGAAAAAACTGTGATAGTACCAGTAATGAATAGTAATAACCACTGTAACATCGATTTGTAAATATACCGTTCCACAAGTTTCCGAACAAAACTTGTTGCAACTTTACACGGAGTTATACAGCGAGAAAAATAAACAAAAGCAAAGAAACCAACAATGATGCTGGTTTATCTGTGATTAGTTTGATTTTGATATTATGCATAAATTCAGGCGCTTATTTTAATAGTGTTAAATGGAAACTGTAAATTAAAAAATAAATTAAAAAAAATCATAGCAGTCATAAAATATACCAGGAAAGATAAGAATGTCTCTAGTGATGCATCAAATTTAATGGAAGAATGGACATATCAGAATAATATTAATACTTAATTTACTTTTAAACCAATTAAATTACTGTACAACAGATGTTAGGTCCTATAATATCCATATGGTATGTAATTCTAATGGTGCATCTGTAACGATTAAGCGAAACAATTAACAGATTCGCTAAACTTATTTACATTACATTTACATAAATTTATCATTTTTAATGGTATTTTTCTATGATTATTGGTCTCTTCCGGTGAGTACTGGATGTCCTATCGTAGTTCACCATGCTTCGGTGTCTGATGGCGCACGGTATTATTACCGTTGTTTCAGCATTAGGGCATTGAGGGACATTTCCCATTTCTTGTGGGAGTACATTCGGATGCGTTAACAATTGTCAGCGACCCAAAATTAAAATTTCAGTTTTTCTTATTGCTATTTCTGCTTCTAGGCCTATTCTTTTAGTTTAATGTATGTATGTTTGTATCCAGACTGACAAGCATCCGCTTATTCTGGTGCCTATATGCAGGCCTATAACCGTGGAATTGTCAATAAAATGTTACGCCGAGTAGTCACGTGCTCTATGAAACTTATATAGGCCAGTATTTCAATTACAGGGGTTCACAAAAAAATGAAAACGCTGAATAAAATGCATCTTGAAACCGTTGAAATTATGTAAATAAATGTTTACAGGAATGTATGTGCTACCTACTGCATATCAACACTCGTAGTAAAGAAAATCGTTCAGAGAAGAAAAACTCGGTGTTATGACTCCGATATAGAGTCATAGCGCTGATTAGCTGTTGCGCTCACCTTGTTTTTTCTGGATTTGTTTCTGCTTCTAATTCTCCATTTGATGGATAACTTCAGCATTCTGAATCTTTGCCTTCTCTGGAGAAGAAGTTTGTAGTAAAAGTCTGGAATGCTCAGTCTTTACGTAGGCCTAATATTAAGACCACACAGTTTCTTGAATATATTAATGCACATAATGTCGATATTGCAGTGTAACTGAAACATGGTTACATGAAAATGAACATTCAGTTATTTCAGCTTGTCAACCAAATGCTTATATGGGTTAGGGTATTCTCCCAAGAATACCTTTTGAATCTAAACAAGTTCAAGGATTTACTGAGAGGCCTAAAGTGAGGCAATTTTTAAGTGTCAAACATCTTTTAAACTCCTCAGCATCTATAGGCCTCCATCTATCAGTGGTCAATCCAATATTTACACATTTTTTAGGGAATTTCCTGATCCTTTAAAAAGATACTCGCTCACTGAGAATCTTTTTATTGCGGGAGATATCAACATTCACGTTGATCAGAATGAAGTAACTCACAAAGTAACTCACCCATACATTTAATCTTACACAGTTGATTCATAGTCCGACACATGTTTATGGTCATACTCTTGACCTTGTTATATCCAATAATAATCCTAGCTTTGTTATCACTGATGTTCATGAGTATTACTGTCACGACATTGACTGGACATAAAACACAGAAACAAAATATATATAAAATCAACTGGTTTTAATTAAATAAAAGTTCATTTTGCATATCCAATTACAAAGTGTTGTGCTACCGGTACCTCCCAGAATCTATCACTGTAATAGTGCATTCGAAGTACGGATCATCTACTAAGTCTTGCTAACTGCTAGGGCTTTTCCCCCTCAGTCTGCAATATCACTTTAGTATATTTGGTACATAAGTCTTGAGTATATTCTGATTTATCAACTATTAACAGTACTCGCGGTCAATTCTTTACTTCATTTCTTGATTCACAAATACTGTGAAGCTCTCTTACTTCAGCTATCACTCACGTATAATTACTTTAAGCTTTTACATATAAGCCTTGTACTTTTATCTTAAAATGTGCCTCGACTGATATGTCCTTTAACCGACACTCCTCAATCCACATATTTCCTTTAAGATATTCTATCTTCAACTCCTGGCTAATACCTTTAAACTAACCATTTTAAATACATTTGCATACTTTTACACTCCACTTAAATGCACGAATCATACACTGGAACTTTGCCTTAACCTCATTAATATTCATGAAACTTATTTCCATTCACAGACCGTTTTAACTTGAGTCATACAACTATG